ATACAAGGACAACGTCACTGTTAAGGGAAAGATGGTGTCACTGTTACACAAGGGATTGTGTCACTGTTATACAAGGAAGATGTCACTGTTACACAAGGATAGTGTCACTGTTATACAAGAATGGTGTCACTGTTGTATAAAGGATGATGTCACTGTTACACAAGGATAGTGTCACTGTTACACAAGGATAGTGTCACTGTTATACAAGAATGGTGTCACTGTTGTATAAAGATGATGTTACTGTTATAAAATAGTAGCTGTGACATTATAACAAGTGACATTTAGTTTTATAATACAGGGGTTTTGTATAACAGTGATTTCTACAACAATATAAAGTTTTTTTATTTGAAGACTGACATAATAACTTATACCATTACGATAATCCTTATTGTACATACCATATTGTGACTTGATTATACAGACAGGAGTTTTATTCTGTTGTGAATTCGTAAGAACGTAAACCTTGTTGTATTTCTATTGACATGCATGGATACAGAGTTGTATTTTTAAAGGGAATCACAGACATGACCCCAATTTTTGTGACCCCTCTTATAAAAACCCCAAATATGCTCCTGTGTTTATATTGTAACTTAGTTGCCATAGAAAGTTATGTTTATTCGTTCAGTTAGTTAGCATACAATAAAGTTTTGAAAACAGTACTTGTTGATGTGTTAATAATTTTAAAATGATTTATGAAATATATGAACATTATCGCATGTTTTTAACCCAGCCTTTAATGCTATCATGTTAAGTTTTGTTTTAAAGGTTGCAATACTATATTATATAATAAACTGTATTATTTAGATAGTTAACAAAATTAATGACTTTCTAATTATGATAATATCTTTCTGTTACAGGTTTAGAACAGTTTGTTATGGTTGAAGATCCGATGACGACTACACCATCAAGACAACGTGTGACATGTGACGTTTGCTTGAAGACGTTTAAAGATAACGGGACATTAAATCGGCACAAGAAAATTCACAGCGATGAAAAGCCATTTCAGTGTCAGATTTGTTACCGGCGTTTTATACGTAAAGATTATCTCGCTAGTCACATGGTTACACATGCCAAGTTTTGATTGGATATCATGGAATAAGATTCATTGTGATAAATTATCTTTCCTAGAAATGTTTGATTAATTTTTTTTTAACTTGATTATATGATTTGGAATTGATTTTTTTTTTAAAAGGGGGTTTTTAACCCCCCCCCAAAAACCCCCCTTTTTGGGGGTTTTTTAAAAACCCTTTTAAAAGGGGTTAAATTTTTGGACCCCAAAAAATTTTTTTAAAAAAAATTTTTTTTTAAAAAAAAATTTTTAAAAGGGGGAAAAATTTTTTTTTGGGGGAAAAAAAAAAATTTTGGTTTTTTTTTGGTTTTTTTCCCAAAAATTTTTAATTAAAAACTTTTTTAAATTTTTAAAATTTTTTTTTTAAAAATTTTTTTAAAAAAAAAAAAAAAGGGGTTTAAAAAATTTTTTTCCCCCCCAAAAAAAAAAATTTTGGTTTTTTTTTTTTCCCCAAAAGGGGGGGGGTTTTTTTTTAAAAAGGCCCCCGGGAAAGCCATTTTTTTTTTTTTTTTTGGGGGGAAAAAAAACCCCCAAAGGGCCATTTTTTTTTTGGGGAAAAATTTTTTCCCTTGGAAAAAAAAAAAGGGGGTTTTTTTTTTTTTAAAAAAAAAAAAAAAATTTTTTTTTTAAAAAAAGGGGGAAGGGGAAAAATTTAGGTTTAAAATTTTAATTTTAAATTTCAAAAAGTTTTAAAAAAAAAAAAGGGGGGTTTAATTTTTTTAAAAAATTTTTTTGAAAAAAATTAAAAAATTTTTTAAGTTTTAAATTTAATAAAATTTCCCCAAAAAAAAATTTTTAAAAAACCAAAAAAAGGGGGGAAAAAAAAACCCCCGGGGCCCCCCTTTTTTTTTTAAAAAAAAAACCCTAAAAACCAAAAAATAATTTTAAAAAAAAAAAAAATTTTTTTAAAAAAAAAAAGGGGAAAAAAAAGGGGGGAAAAAAAAACCCCCTTTTTTTTTTTTTTTCCAAAAAAAATTTTTAAAAATTTTTTTGGGCCCAAAAAAAAAAAATTTTTTTTTTTAAAAAATTTTTTTTAAAACCCTTTTAAAATCCCTTTCCCGGGTCCATTTTTTTTAAACCTTTAAAAAAAAATTTAAAAATTTTTTAAAGAAAAAATTTCCCTTTTTTAAAAATTTTTAAAAAAGGGAAAAAAAAAAAAAATTTTTAAAACCCCCCCCCCAGGGGCCCCGGGGGGGAAAAACCAAAAAGGGCCCCAAAAAACCAAAATTTTTTTAAAATTTTTTTTCCCCCTTTTTTTAAAATTTTAAAAAAAGGGTTTAAAAAAAAAAAAAGGGGGGGTTTTAACCCCCCTTTAAAAAGGGAAAAAAAAATTTTTTAAAAAAAAAGGGGGATTTTTTTTTTTTAAAAAATTTTTTTTTTAAAAATTTTTAAAAAAAAAAAAAAAACCCCCCCGGGGGGGAAAAAAAAATTTTTTTGGAAAAAAAAAATTTTTTTTAAAAAGAAAAGGGAAATTTAAAAAAAAACCCCCCCCCCTTGCCCCCTTTTTTTTAAAAAAAAAAAAAAAAAGGGTTTTTTTTTTTAAAAAAATTTTTTTTTTAAAAAAAATTAAAAAAAAAATTTTTTAAATTTTTAATTTTTTAAAAAAAAAATTTTTTTTTTTGGGGGGGGGGGCCCCCTTTTTTTTTTTAAAAAAAAAAAAAAATTTTTTAAAAAAAAAGAAAAAAAAAAAAATTTTTTAAAAAATTTTTTTAAAAATTTTAAAAAAAACCCCCCGGGGGGGAAAAAAAGGGGCCCGGAAAAATTTTTTTTTTTTTTTTTAAAAAAAAAAAAAAAATTTTTTTTTTTTTAAAAAAAAGGTTTTAAAGGGGGGGTTTTTTTGGGGGGTTTTTTTTTTTTTAAAAAAAAAGGGAAAAAAAAAAATTTTTTTAAAAAAAAAAATTTTTTAAAATTTAAAAGGGAAAACCCTTTTAAAAAAGTTTTTTTAAAAAATTTTTTTAAAAAAAACCCGGGGGGGGGGTTTTTAAAAAAAGGGGAAAAAAAGGAAAAAAGGGAAAAATTTTTTGGGGGTTTCCTTTTTTAAAAAAAAAACCCCCCCCGGGGGGGGGAAAGGGGGGGGGGAAAAAAAACCCCCCGGGGGGCCCAACGGGGTTTTTTTTTTTTTTAAAAAAAAAAATTTTTTTTTTTAAAATTTAAAAAAAAAAAAAATTTTTAAAAAAAAAATTTTTTTTAAAATTTGTAAAAAAAAAAAAAATTTTAAAAAATTTCCAAAAAAAAAAATTTTTTAAAATTTAAAATTTAAAAAAAAAAAAAAAAAAAAAAATTTTTTTTAAAAAAAGGAAAAAAAGGGGTTTTTTTTAAAATTTTTTTTAAAAAAAATTTTTTTTTTTTTTTAAAAAAAAACGGAAAAAGGTTTTTTTTAAAAAATTTTAAATTTTTTTTTTAAAATTTTTTTAAAAATTTTTGGGGAAAAAACCAAAAAAGGGGGAAAAAAAACCCCCCCAAAAAAAACCCCCCCAAAAAAAAAAAAAAAAATTTTTTTTTAAAAGGTAAAAAAAAAAAAAAAATTTTTTGGGGGAAAAAAAAAACCCCCTTTTCCCCTTTTAAAATTTTTTTTGGGGGTTTTTTTTTCCCTTTTTTAAAAAAAGGGTTTTTTTTCCCAAAAATTGTTTTAAAAAAATTTTTTTTTTAAAAAAAAATTTTTAAAAAAAATTTTTTTTAAAATTTTTTTTTTTTTTTTTTGGGATAAAAAAAAAAAATTTTTTTTTTAAAAAAACCTTTTTTTTTAAAAAAAAATTTTTTTTCCCCCCAAAAAAATTTTTTTTTAAAAAAAAACCCAAAAAAATTGAAAAATTTTTTTTTGGGGGTTTTTTGGGGGGTTTTTTTTTTTTTTTTTTTAAAAAAAATTTTAAAGGGAAAAAATTTTTTTTTAAAAAAATTGGGAAAAAAAGGGAATTAATTATTTTTTCAAAAAAAAAAAAAAAAAAATTTTAAAAAAAAAAAATTTTTAAAAAAAACCAAAAAAAAAAAAAAAAATTTTTTTTTTTTTTAATTTTTTAAAAATTTTTAAAAAAAAGGGAAATTTTTTTTTAAAAAAAATTTTTTTGGGGGGGGTTTTTTTGTTTTTTTTTTGGGAAAGGTTTTTGTTTTTTAAAAAAAAAAATTTTTCCCCCCCTTTTAAATTGGAAAATTTACAAAAAAAAAATTTTTTTTTTTAAAAAAAAAAAAGGGGGGTTTAAAAAATTTGGGGTTTAAAAAAAAAAAGGGGGGGGAAAAAAAAAAAAAAACCCAAATTTTTTTTTAAATTTTTTTTAAAATTTTTTTTTGGCCAAAAAAAAAATTTTTTTTCCCCCTTTTAAATTAAAATTTTGGAAATTTTTTTTTTTTTAAAATTTTTGGGGAAAAAAAGGGGGAAAAGGGGGTTTTAAAAAGGAAAAAAAACCCCCCCCAAAAAAAAAACCGGAAAGGTTTTTTTAAAAATTTTTTACTATAAAAAAAACCCCCAAAAAAAAAAACCCAAAAATTTAAAAAAAAAAAAAAAAACCCCTTTTTTTTTTTCCCCCCCTTTTAAAACCCCCCAAAAAAAATTTTTGTTTTTTTAAAAAGGGGAAAATTTTTCTTTCCTTTTTGTTTTTTTTTAATAAATTTTTTTTGGAAAAAAACCCCCCCCTTTTGAAAAATTTTAACAAAAATTTTTTTAAAAAAAAAAAAAACCCCCCCTTTTTTTAATTTTTTTTCCCCCTTTTTTTTTTTTTTTTTGGGGGGGGTTTTTAAAATTTTTTAAGGGAAAATTTTTTTTAAAGTTTTCTTTTTTTTTTTTTTTAAAAATTTTTTTTGACAAAAAAAAAAAAATTTTTTTTTTTAAAAAATTTTTTTTTTTTTTAAAAATTTAAAAAAAAAAATTTAATTTTTAAAAAATTTAAATTTAAATTTTTTTTTTTTTAAAAATTTTTTTTTAAAAATTTTTTAAAATTGGAGAAGATCACGGAACTTTGTCTGTGAAATCTGTCACAAAGCTTTTACTGATAACTGGAACCTGAAACAACATATGAGAATACATACTGGAGAAAGTCCATATAATTGTGAAGTTTGTCATAAAACATTTAAAGGGAAAAGTAATCTGAAAGCTCATATGATAACACATCTTGATATGAACCTTCTCCAGCACTAAAACAAATTAATTCATATGTATGATTAATATGATGGTTAAAAGTATTTTCTTACTGGGATATTTCTATATGAAATCTTAGTGGAATATTTTAGGCTATGAAGAATTGTGAACATGGAAGAATCTGAGTATGGATAAAAAAAATACATGGACTTGTGTTACATTAATTTTGTTTGTGGACCAGCAATAGAAATATTTCCCGATATTGATGTAGTAAATTATTAGATTAATATTTAATGTGCATATGTTCAGTTCATTTGCTCATTCTGTTGTTGTTTTTTTTTTCATTATAATAATTCTTAATTGTGCCATATGACCAAATAATGAAATAATGCTTTAAGATTATTTTTTTTTCCAACATAATTAGGCAAACAATCACAATATTAATTTTTACTTTAATGTATGAATATATTTCTTCATTATCCTTTTCATTTAAAGCTTGCAGTTTCATTTTTTCAGTAGGTTAGAGCTTGTTAAAGAAATTATCTGTCATTTAAATGAAATTGGAACATTAAATTAAAATAATTATAAACATCCATATTCTAAAGTTTTATAAATAGATTTAAATGTTTTATATAATTTGAGAAGGAAATGTATTAATTGATCAATTAATAAATAATAGATAAAGTTGAACTTTTTGTTATTCACTACAATAATTTTTGAACGCGCAATGGACACAAATTCAGTAATGTTGCTATCTAAAATACGCCTAATTTTAAACATATTGACTGCTGATAAGTGAATGAAAGTGGAGAGTTAAATAAAGAAACTATGTTTTTCTGATTATGGTTGATGGAATGTGAATAAAACATTGTTATTTATGAATAACAAACATTAGTGGTAGCTGTGCCTAGTCTTATGAATAATAGTTAGTTAAAAGATAATTACAATCAGTGGATTTGTTTATGAACAATATTATCTCCCCTGTTTTTCTATGAGAACTTACAATAACAAACCAATATTATTTAATATGTAAATATGTTTTAGAGAAATTTAAATTAAAACATTGTATTTCCTGTTCAATAACATTGTATTTGTTGAATTATATAGACATTGTAAGTAAATAAACTTATTAATTCAATATTTTAGACATTATAAATAAATGAACTTAAATCATTATTTTATAGTTAATTTTTTATGGTTCTATTATATAATGTTTTTGTCAGTAGCTATAAGTTATGTATTTCCACACAAATTTTATCAAGTTATTAAAATGATACAAGTAGGTTTCATAACTGTTACTGTATCACCATTAAAGATTATTACCAAGCTTTGCTAAAGATAGTAACAGTTAAGTTACAGCTAGGAGCTTAATCATCAAAATAAATGAACAGTAACAGTTAAGTTACAGTAAGGAGCTATCATCAAAATAAATGTTCATTACTGGCTCGGGTTCTGAACAGATTAGCAATTTGAGCAGCGTCACGTCAAAACAAACATAGTGCGTTTGCGACCAGCATGGATCCAGACCAGCCTGCGTATCTGCACAGTCTGATCAGGATCCATGCTGTTCGCTTTCCAACTCTATTACATGTAGAGAAACTGATAGCGAACAGTATGGGTCCTGGACAGACTGCGCAGTATGGTCTGAATCCATGCTGGTCGCAAACGCACTATGTTGGTTTTGTCGTGATGCAGCTCATTTATTTTTTGAATAATCTGGCTGGCTTTTTCTCATATGTTGTTCTTAATCCTTGTTTACTTTATTTTCTCTCCTAGTATGTACAGAACCAGAGTTATTTTATTATCATTTCATAATTATGGTTGTCATATTTTGTTGATAACTGTTTTACTTATGTCTTCAACATCTTGTGATAAAATAGATTAGTTACTTATGTCTTCAACATCTTATGATAAACTAGATTAGTTAGGAAATTAGGGGAAAACACATTTCCTGTCAATGAATCTCTTCCATAATAATTCTTAGATTTATTTATATTATGGGTTTGTCTAGCTTTGAATGAATATTTGTTTATCTGGACTATTGGGATTTTAGTTGTGTAGATTTTGGTAAGACAGAACTGATGTACAGGCTGGCATTATTCTGTCAATTTACTGGTGACATAAAAACTTCATCATCGTCACCACTTGAACAATCAAATGTAGCAACTGTTTAAAAGATCCTGTAATAAATTTTTTTTATGATTTTTATATCATAAATATGATGCTCAAATTAAGATTTATCAATTTTATAAGTTCCAAAAAGCATTGCAGACAAAAACACTTCAGGAATACATAATCTACATTACATTGTTAAAATTTCAATCTATTTAGTCTATGTATAACATATGATTGCAATATTTGAATCATCATGAAAATACAATAATATCTCTTGTGTATAGACACCTTGAAATCTGCTCGGTCAATAGTTTCCAGCATTTCCCCTCTAAATTATGTGAAATATTTATTTTGTTGTCATATTCATAATGCTGCACTGACTGTAACATTACTATAATTGATAAGAAAGCTACTAGTAAACATTAGTCTACGGTCAATAGTTTCCAGCATTTCCCCTCTAAATTATGTGAAATATTTATTTTGTTGTCATAATTATAATGCCGCACTGACTGTAACATTACTATAATTGATAAGAAAACTTAGTAAACATTTATCAAGTCTATATAAAGCTTTGATATTGACTTCCAGTTGTTGAATCAATTTTTTGTTTTTTACAATTTTCAGATATGAGTGTTAGAAGTTCACAAGTTTCCTTTCCCAATGAGATGCCGGGGAAATATGTCTGTGAGTTTTGTCCCAAACGTTTCCGTGATAATTGGAAGTTACAGACACATCGTAGAGTACATACAGGAGAACGACCTTTCAAATGTCGGTTTTGTGAGCGTACTTTCAGCACAAAAGGAAACTTGAATTCCCATTTGGCCGTACATCTAAAATTATAGAATTAATCATAATTGTTTTCGTTATACTGTTAATGTTGAAGATCCTGTTTATATTTTCAAAATTGTTTCTACAGTTTCAATTTCCGTGGATTGATTAAAATATTAAGGAAGAAGAGCGTTGCTAATAATTGAAGTGTGACAGTAGTTTAACTCTACAAGTCAATTTGACATTAAGAAGTCAATATTATTGTAGATAAGACTGATTTGAGGTCTAACAGTAAATAGGACATGTGTGATGTTACTGTACCGGATAGGAAAAGATGTTGGTGTACAAGTCTTGTTGTAAATATTTATAAAAAGAAAATGCATGACACGAAATAGGCAAGTAAAATGTACCTGAAAGATTTTAGTCATACATAAAATTATAACAAAAGGTTTTTTTGTTTAAGTAGGAGGAAGACATTAACATTATATATACACAATTTAATCAGATCTTGTTGTAAATACTAACTTTTAAATGACAACCTACGAAATAAAGCTTATATACAAGAAGGCATAATTATGTAATTTATATATTGTATTATTTTTGGCAAATGAATGTCAATTATTATAGGTCTTAACCTGCTGAATTTCTTAAAATGAACTTGTCCAGCTTCCATTTTTGGAACTGACCATTACAATATTTTAGGGAAGTCTAATATGCATGAAAATAAACTTTCTGATGTTGGCTGCAGCAATTAATCATGTGACCAGTGTTCAGATGGCAGAGATGTTCCTGGTCTTGTTCTACAATATATAGTCAGGTCTGATTGCTGCTGTCTTAACACAAGACATTCTATAGACTACCCATTTATTTTGATGTGAAATTTAATCTTAAATTTACTCTACAAACATAGTTATTCCATTTTAACAGCTTTTTGTTGAAGAATGGAAAATTAGAAATGTATCAGTTAGTTTCTTTGAGAAATATCAATATTTGGTAAAGGGTACAACTTTTTTCCTAGTTATCTTGTATATTTAGGTTTCAAATATGTTTATTGATGGCCAATAATGAAAGTTCAGTTTCAAATATTTTATTCTTATAATTTGATTAAACAGACACCTGAAGGGGATAGTGAAAGGCCCCTGGCTTAAAGTAAATGAATTGGGGAAACAATATTTAGCATTTTGGGCATTAGCATGTCAAAATAATTAGAATTTTTCAGGAGTAGAAAAAGTTTTAATTATTTTGGCTGCTGTTCAGGGATTTTTTTTTTTGAAGTTTTGAAAGAGAGTTAGTTTTTCATTCAACCAGGGTCCTTATAATAAGCAAAAAATGCGCTTGACCTATTTCCTCATTGTCATATAGAAATGTTCATAGTCAGGATAGAATTGTAATGGTCTTAATTAAACTCTGTATAATATATACATATTTATATATATATATTTCAGGAAAGAAAGTAGACAGTTCAAAGACTTGGAAACATGGATGTGACTTTTGTGACAAAAGTTTTCCTACTAACTGGAAGCTACAGACTCACAGGAGAATTCACACCGGAGAAAAACCATTTATTTGTAAGGAATGTGGAAAAGGATTTACAACCAAGGGAAATCTACATTCACACATGACTGTACATTACAATATATTCTAAATTGTTCATTTTGTGACTAGAAATCAGAAATGTTTAAAGTCCACTGTGTTTATAACTGTTATTTGCAACTGTTACATAAATGAACATTTTATAGGAGAAAAAAAGGCCCGGACAATTTGTGAGACTTGTTTTGAGTAATTGCATGATTGTGTTTTCATTGTGATTTGAAGTATAGATGTAAAAATTACAATTAAATACATTCAATTAAGTATATTATTTTTAGCTTGATTATTGAGAACTTCATTTGTATCCGTAGAATAAAGAGAGCTAATGTACTCACTCAGCTACATACTTTGGTTGTATGCAAGTTGGTATCTCATAACTTACTGAAGGGAATGGGTTGAAACTTCATACACTTATTTGAGAGCATAATAGGAGATCACTGTCCAAGGCATGTAACTCTAACATAGGTTTTGACTGAGTTATGGCCCTTTTTTAACTTAGAAAATTCTACATGATCTAGGCTCTTGTTTGACTATCAAGCACTGAGAAGAGTCTGGCACGCTGTCCTACCAACAGCCCTTCTTATAGCTTTCTGATGATTATGTGATTTGTCAGTCAGTACATATAATAGTAATTGATGCAAACATCTGTCAGTACTATAAACTGTTTGTACAGTGGCCTTAACTTATTTCAAGAAGTTGGGAGTGGTGTTATGGAGGCATGGTTATTGTGTGTTGGACATAAGTAATCTGACCACTAGCCATATAGGTTCAAACCCTGTCAGGGGCTATCCATAATTATCCTGAAGAAAGAAACTTACATCTGGTACTGGAATGGATATAATCTTGCACACAATCATTCTAAAATAAATTCTAAGAAAATTTAAAAAAAGTGGAACAACCAATCAAAACCGGGTAATTTTTAAGGATTTAATTAATGATAACTGACGTTTCGACTTTCCCCGAGTCTTCATCAGAGTTATAAAATATAAAATATTAATTCTGAATAAACTCACCTTCTGTTCTACCTATACATACTATATTGTCTAGATAATATATTATGTTTAATGTTTCATTTTTAATTTTTCTTGTTTAAGATAAAAATATATTTTAAAATTTCATTTAAACTCAATTATGGTTGTCACGTGTTAGTTTGTACACAATTATTTAAGAGGTTTCTACCTGTACCAAGCATTATTAGCTTGTGTGTTTAGTTAAAATTCAGTAAGTATTTTGGTATTAGTGCATATATTTTATTGTGAAGTTAAATTAGTTTTGATTAAAGTGACAGTATGCTCATATTTTCTTTGTCAAGTTGAGTTGAAGTAACTATATATTTCAAAAGATAAACTGTTATAATGGTGATTGACCAGCGGTTGATGTTGAAAATTGTTTGGGATAAAATATAAATCTGCCAAAATTATAACAAGACTGCCCCACTCTTCTATAAAATTGCACATTTGTAACAGATAAAATCTGATAGATATACATATTTATAGAACTTTTCTTCGGCCACATGAGTTATTTATCATCCAATGGAAGTAAACTATAAAATTGAAAGGAATTATTGCAAAATGAAAACTTATTTTGTCTTTCACCTGTTCATTTGCTATATATTACCCCCTTACCATTCTGTTCTCAGAATCGCAAGAAAGTGAGAGAGCATTCATCAAATAGGGCAGTATGTTTTTATCTCATACTCTCTAATCTGTTCCTGGAACCAACCAGTACTGCAACAATTAATGTCAAGTTTCTTGGGTAAGGAAACAAATGGCTTGCCCCTGATGTGGATTGATCCCATGCTGCTAACGATCCTTGAAATCCTAGTCTTACAGGTTAACCCACTCGCCCATGCCATTACATTATGGCTGTCACACAGGTAGCTAACTTTGAATTTTTGATCTCTTATATCGATGGCTCAGCGCAATACTGGTCTAAGTGACATTTTTACCAAAAATCACTTTTTTACATATTTTGATCATGTAAGGTCAAATACACATTCTGTGAAAATTTTAGGGTATTTTATGCTTTTTTTGCCTTTTTTATTTACATTTAAAATAAAAGTCTATCTCAGGTAGTTCAATTTTGTTAGTGCAATATAGGTCCAACTTTAGTTGGTCTCTTATTGCGATGTCAAATATATCAATTTTCCTCAAAAATCATTGAGTTAGACCTTAAATGTTTCATATAAAAATAATAAAATAATATGCATATCCCATTGAAATGTGTTATCAAGAATGTGAGAATTCATGAAAACACTAGAAATTATTTGCCTTCATCAGTGCTTTGTATTTGTATCATTCGCAAAATATTAGCCAATTGCACATATGTTACATTAGTGGATTCATAACCTCTGATCCCCCTCTAAAAATTCATATTTTTTTTAGTTTGACCTTTGTTTAATCATATGCTGAGATTTCCTAATTCTTAATTTTACACTTTATTCATATCTATATAATGTGTTCTGCTTAAAATGGTGTAAGGTGGTAGACTGTACATTGTTTCACTGCCAAATCAAACTTAGCCTGTAACACAATGACCAATTTCAGGTTTGAGGGCGTTCTTGGGTTTTTATTTTTAAATTATGTATCTACTTCTGTATCACTCTCTCTAATCAAATAAAGTTATTTAAGAAACAATATATCCAAATCGGTGATTTTATTGCTCATTAACATCACTGTTTGGAGTTCGGTTGCGAGGAATTATATCACGAGGGCGCAGCCGGAGTGATATAATTAATGCACATCCGAACGACAAACAGTAATGTTATCAAGCAATAAAATCACAGATTTGGATATATTATTTCGATTCTAACACGAAATTAACAAATAAATGCTGCCGTACCCGATATTTAGCTATATTGTTTCCGTTCTTATTATCAGCGCGTCACATTTTTAGTGGTTACGTCACGTGTATAATGATTGCGTCACATGTCTTAATATCGAACATCAAACAGTGATTTTATAGCATAATAACAAACTTTCGGTTCTTCTATGTTCAATAGGGAAAAATGCCGGTCATGTTAGAAATATAAACTTTACACTATCAACTCAAACAATACAATAACAAAATAGTGTCAACATGTGCAAATCACACTCTTCACAATACTTATATTATTGATACAATATCTTTCTGTCTGATGTGATATGTGCAGAAAAAATCAAAATATGCACACTTATACATTATAATGACCTTTTTAGTTCTTGTATTCTGATAATTTTTTACATCACACAGCTCCATTGAAATTTCGAGAGTGCAATTGTCAAAAACTCTTTGACTTATGTGGCAGAAACAGCTATAAGTTGATAAAAATGTTTCATTTTAGATCTAAAAGCCATTAATTTTACCTATCAAATTTAATGAAATTAAAAATGTAATGACTATCAACTGCTTTTGGTATAGAATCAGTGTCAATGAGAAAATTCAAACATTTATCCATTCTAATTGTTAAGTGCTAATCTAAGGTGTGCACATGGTGCTTTAATTAGTAATTTCAGGTGTGCGCCTTTTCATATCAGAATGAGTATGTGGTTGCAAGTTAGTGTTTAAAGCACATCTAACTTTACTAAAATGATTCTGAATTATATCATGTGCTAACAATACTTTGTTCTATGAATCCCTAATAGTGGGTTGTACTGCCTTACTTTTTTCTCTAAAATATGTTTGACAACCTCTTGTTATTTGGTCAAAATTAAGAGGTGAAATGACTTTGATATACAGTTGACTCTCGGTAACTCGAAATCCATGGGACTGGGTATTTTACTTCGAGAGAAACGGAATTCGAGTTACGTGGATCTGCGCCATTACGTTGACATTCGTACATGTATATACCTGTGCCTGATTCATCAGTTAAGTACATGTTTTAATAAGCATTCATGACAATTCATAACAATAAAAGCACAATAACAACATTTATTTCAACAATTTATCTAATATTTGGAGTGAATTGATCATCAGACGAATACGAAAGTAGCAACTATCGTGAACGACGGAACATTAATTATACAAATGTCAGTTACGTTGACACAACAATACCTAGACTGTTATTTAACTAACACCCGAGTCAACTTTCTTAAAACCAATTAAGTCCTGAAACCGATTAAAGCCACTTTTACGACGTGTTAATAATACATGATGACCAACAATTAAAACTAGAGGATGCTTTTGTAAAAAAGCGCATGTCTCCCCCACTGCTGAGAATAACTGTGAATGGAAACAGGAATGGAAATGGAGATAAGATAATGTAAATACCCGGTAGTCACTTCAATGAAGGCTGTCTATGGATGGTTTCTATTGTTAAGGTTGTATGAGAAGATGCTTCCTATGAAGTTTGAGGGTTGTAGGTCAAAAGGAACTCTAGTTATCATCCGGAAATGAGAAATTGACCAACGGTCACTGTGACCTTGACCTTTGACCTACTGACCCCAAAAACAATAGGGATCATCTGCTCTATAAGACCAATCATCCTATGAAGTTTGAGGGCTGTAGGTCAAAAGGAACTCTAGTTATCATCCGGAAACGAGAAATTGACCAACGGTCACTGTGACCTTTGAACTACTGACCCCAAAAACAATAGGGATCATCTGCTCAATAAGACCAATCATCCTATGAAGTTTGAGGGCTGTAGGTCAAAAGGAACTCTAGTTATCATCCGGAAACGAGAAATTGACCAACGGTCACTGTGACCTTGACCTTTGAACTACTGACCCCAAAAACAATAGGGATCATCTGCTCAATAAGACCAATCATCCTATGAAGTTTGAGGTCTGTAGGTCTATAGGAAATCTAGTTATCATCCGGAAACGAGAAATTGACCCCCGAGGTGGGGGAGACATAATTACCATGAAACGTTTGAATCACGAGTGGCAACATTTCACCTTGATGTCGCCGACCTTTGATCAGTCGACTGTTTTCACACTTCGACTAATTGAGATGACAATATGTTGGACTTTAACTGACGGGACCAAATTTTCTTTTCGACGAAACAGGAGTCTTGGTTAGTCAAAATTTGACCTAAGGGGAGTTAAAATACAAAGATAAGGAAGGAAATTTGACGGGACTTCGGCTAACACGGAATTTTGAGTAAAGTGATTTTGACTTATTGAGAGTCAACTGTATCAAATGAAAGTTTTCAGCAAAACATGTCATAAAATTTGCACATTACACTTTCAAAATATACTCTAATCAGTTGAGAAAGTACATACAAACTACATTGTAATAAAAGCATGGTCTAACAGCGGTTTTCATTTTTGAAAATATTTGATATTTATAAATGATTATATCATCAGAAAAGAGAACCACATACATTAAATTCATTAAGATTTAGCGCATAACAGTAATATCGGAATCATAGCATTTAAGCACCAATGGCAGTAATGGTGTGCATTGAGAAAATAAAATGTGTCTTCTTTGTACAAATGTGAGTTATACAAAATGTACATTCCCTGTTAGATATCATAATATATACCTGGATCGTCAGTCATCATTGTTCATGACTACTGTTCATAACACTATATGAATCAAAACTGTTTGCATTTTGTTTAGAATTCAAATTTATTGCACAGATAATCTGCAAAAGATCTTAAGTAAATCTGAATCTCAAACAAATTGAAAAAGGAGAAAGAAGTGTACTTTCATCTAAAGTCAGCTCGCATGATATATTAATAGAAAAATATTAAAGGATTTAGTCTTTGTAAAGTTCTTTTACAGACTTGCAAAATATTTTAAACAATGTTTAAAGCAAAATATTTTAAACAATGTTTAAATTAACAAAACAATGTCGTTCAAAATTTAAAATTTCATTATATCAGAATATTTAACATAAAACAGGTCTAACTCAAATATTTGTACCACTTTTACCAAATTGCAAGAGGGAATTTGAGTCTAACTCAAGTTAGTCTTGTATTGCGCTCAGAATTTCAGCGCAATAAAGGTCTAACTCTAAAATACACAATTTGTAACATTTTAATAAAAAATTATATAAATGGCATTATTTCTTATTATAATTAATGTTAACATAGCAAAAAAATATTTTCTAATATAAGTATTTTTGAATAAAATCAGTTTTTTGTCTCTCCTGAACATTTTCAAAAATAGCAGTTAGACCAGTATTGCGCTGAGCCATCGATATTATCTGTTGTTTTTTTACCACACTAAATATCTAAAATGGACTTGACCATCATTCAATCTGGACAAAATAATTTGTCATTTTTAGAGAAAAATTTGTACTTATATAATAAATATGAGCCGCATCATGACAAAACCAATATAATGCGTTTGCGACCAGCATGGATCCAGAGCAGCCTGGGCATCCGCGCAGTCTGATCAGGATCCATGCTGTTGGCTTGCCATAGCGGCTCATATATTATTGAATAACAAACAGTGCTGACCCTTATGTGTGCATTATAATGGTAATATAAAACTCATGTTAAAATGAAAAGAAATTTATAAAAAAATAACCTTTTTAGAAATACATGTATTGTTTAAGAAAGCAAGTGATTGTATTTCTCAGTCAGATCATTTATGTATTAAGTGACCGTAATGTCTGTAAAAAACTACTTGTATTTGTTATAGGTTGAATGGAAGTATTGGTACTACTTGTATTTGTTATAGGTTGAATGGAAGTATTGGTACTTTATATAACAAGTGAGTTCTGTTTTTGTGAAATTTGTGTTGTTGTTGTTGTTGTTGTTACTATAATTTGCTCCTTTATACAATAGATAAGAGAAAATTGACCAATTTATTTCATAATTATAATCTTATATATTGTATAGTTCATGTAACCTGTACATATATATATATATATATGTTATATATTTCAGATATAGATCATACATATGTAGGGCTTGCTATGAGACAAGGACCGACTGATACATCGGGAAAGTTAAAGAGAATATGTATGATATGTGATAAAGCGTTCCGTGACAACTGGTACCTGCAGAGACACATGAGATCTCACACCGGAGAAAAACCGTTCACGTGTAAATACTGCGACAAAGCTTTCAAACAGAAAGGACATTTGAGAGTTCATATGCTGAAACATTTAGATGATTAATTAGAGACAGTTTACAATAGTGATGAACTAATGAATGTATCAAATTCTCTTATTATGGGGATTGCTTAAAAAGTGGGATAAACTTCACATTTCCCTGTTAATGTTTGTGTTCTGTGGATAGTGAAAAGTAGAGTGATAAGAATGGTTTTAAGTGTGTTTTGATTATTTTTAAGCATTTTCCTGGACAGCAACGGTTAATGTTTCCGCTGTGGTCATCTTCTTGACGTCTTTTAATGTACCAGCTTCACTAGAATTCAGCATTTAGAGAATGAAATAATGTGTAATTATTAAGAATAATCATTTGGTATGATCTCGCTAGGATATGATTATATAATGGTGATCAAACTCATTCGAAAAGATGGCTAGTTATAGTGGTAGGATTAAACAAGAATGACCGAACATTGCTAGTTATAGTGGCAGGATTAAACAATAATGACCGAACATGTCTAGTTATAGTGGCAGGATTAAACAAGAATGACCGAACATTGCTAGTTATAGTGGCATGATTAAACAATAATGACGGAACATGGCTAGTTATAGTGGCATGATTAAACAAGAATGACCGAACATGGTTAGTTTTAGTGGCAGGATTAAAGAAGAATGACGGAACATTTCTAGTTATAGTGGCAGGATTAAACAAAAATGACGGAACATGGCTAGTTATAGCGGCATGATTAAACAAGAATGACGGAACATGTCTAGTTATAGTAGCAGGAATAAACAAGAATGATCAAACATGGCTAGTTATAGTGGCAGGATTAAACAAGAATGACGGAACATGGCTAGTTATAGTGGCAGGATTAAACAAGAATGACGGAACATGTCCAGTTATAGTGGTAGGAATAAACAAGAATGATCAAACATGGCTAGTTATAGTGGCAGGATTAAACAAGAATGACCGAACATGTCTAGTTATAGTGGCAGGATTAAACAAGAATGACGAAACATGTCTAGTTATAGTGGCAGGAAATAAACAAGAATGACCAAACATGTCTAGTTATAGTGGCAGGATTAAACAAGAATTACGGAACATGTCTAGTTATAGTGGTAGGAATAAACAAGAATGATCAAACATGGCTAGTTATAGTGGCAGGATTAAACAAAAATGACCGAACATGTTTAGTTTTAGTGGCAGGATTAAACAAGAATGACGGAACATGTCTAGTTATAGTGGCAGGATTAAACAAAAATGACGGAACATGGCTAGTTATAGTGGTAGGATTAAACAAGAATGACGGAACATGTCTAGTTATAGTAGCAGGAATAAACAAGAATGATCAAACATGGCTAGTTATAGTGGCAGGATTAAACAAGAATGACCGAACATGTCTAGTTATAGTGGTAGGAATAAACAAGAATGATCAAACATGGCTAGTTATAGTGGCAGGATTAAACAAAAATGACAGAACATGGCTAGTTATAGTGGCAGGATTAAACAAGATTGACTGAACATGTCTAGTTATAGTGGCAGGATTAAACAAAAATGACCAAACATGGCTAGTTATAGTGGCAGGATTAAACAAGAATGACTGAACATGTCTAGTTAAAGTGGCAGGATTAAACAAAAATGACGGAACATGGCTAGTTATAGTGGCAGGATTAAACAAGAATGACGGAACATGTCTAGTTATAGTGGCAGGAATAAACAAGAATGATCAAACATGGCTAGTTATAGTGGCAGGATTAAACAAGAATGACGGAACATGTCTAGTTATAGTGGCAGGATTAAACAAAAATGACGGAACATGGCTAGTTATAGTGGCAGGATTAAACAAGAATGAACGAACATGACTAGTTATAGTGCCAGGAATAAACAAGAAAAGTTTGTGTCACTTTACAGGCAACATTTTTATATCTTTAGAATGAATTGGTGAGGAGGGGTTTAGTGTTAAGGATGTAAAATAAGCAAAAATTAGTATAAAAAATGCATAGTTGACTTATAATTTCATTTTATTTATGATATCTCTTTTTATCAATTGGATTGTTGACTTATTTATAAAACTTTAAGAATGTTATAACTTTGTTTCTTAGGACCAGATTTAAAGCATTTTTCTATGATTTACATTTAATGAATTGATTACTTGTAAGTCTATATTACCATATATTATTTGATAATTATGACCCTCCCCTAATAAACGAAGCCCTATATTTACAAAATTTAAAATGGCTTTTATTTCTATTATATATTATCTAGAAGAAAATATCAAAGAAACAATAAACTTCTGTTTTGATTTGACAATATCTAACTTTCATTACTCTATACTTAATTCCACTCTTTTGGAAAATGTCCCTGTGGGCTTTTATTACAGAATATATCGATGGTTTAGCGCAAAACTGTAGTAACTGTATATTTGTAAATTTTACAAGAGAGGCAAAAAACATTCTGTTTTAAATGATGTTCTATCATTTCTTAAGATTTCTAAGAATATGAAAAGAAAGTGTAGAAGAAAGCAAATGAATTAAAAAAACAATGTTAATCTTTTTTCCTTTCTTAGATATTTGGACTGTGCTGAGTTACTACACTCTTGCGCTCAAATGGTAATATTTTGAAAATTATTCTGAGTGCAAGACAGTAGTAACTAGACTTACTACAGTATAACATGCACAAAATGAGGGCATCTATTTACAATATTAATTGCAACACTGTAGTAACTCAATTGATAATAATTGAAATAAGATAAATGATAGTGTTTAAAGTTACCTTTAATCTTTAACATCATTGTAACAAAGGGGCGAGGGTTCAGGGAGATGGTTCTTCATTATTAATATTAATTGTGATGTCAATAGAACATTATTCTGTGCAGCAGTCACAAGTATGATTAGAGACATTCATGGTACTTTCTTATTTTTTGTATTGAAGCTATGTAGGACATAATTAACAAAAATCCAATTTTTTTCTGAAACAAGAAATACTGACTGTAGTCATTTTGCCTATGTACCTCTAATACTGCATCAGTAACAAAAGTTAAATTTTTAATACAAACTTGAAATTCTCTTAGTTCATCTATTTTTTTCAACAGAAACATGTTTATATTATTTAACAAACCATGTTATGGAAATTGTACCACATAAAAATGTATAACCCTTTTAAGGGAAAACATTAAGGCGACTTTATTTAGACATCAACCATATATTTATTTTTGTTATCGTTTGTATGCATATCTGCTAGAAGCAATCAGTTATTAAAGAGCTACTGTAGAACTTCTATGAGTCGAACTTCTATTTAGGAGTTTATGAGTCGAATTTTTCAATGTGTCGAAGATTTTTCATTGTCCGTAAAGAATCAATGGAGTACTATTTACCACAAATAAGTTGAAGTCCTTTGTTTATTTTGACACCTTGGATTTTGAGACATTTTTCACACCATTTTTAGCCGCGAAGATGATTTCCAATCAAAATTGTGTGACATGTGTAAATTACACAACCGTTTGCTCGAACAACCTTAGTATGCGTTTAATTGTTACCATTCAAATTGTCGTAGTGGTATTTGAACCAAAACAGAAATAACTACTTTCATTTGAGAAATTCTGTGACCCGTCATGTTGGTGATAATCACACAAGTAATATTTACTATAATCGGGCTTTCTTTTTGTTAAGCCTTTTGTAACTTGCTTGTTAACGTCAACGGCTTGAAATTTTTTTAGTAAATTTAGATTGATTTATGAGTCAAAGTCGCGATGTGTTTAAGTTTTTACGCTGTCCTTTCAACCTCGACTTACCGAAGTTCTACTGTATTTCATGGAAGTACTGGTTCTTTTGTACTGAACCAAAGTCTACAGGATAGTTTCCTTAAAGTTTGTCTCTTAGATCATCATCTTTCTAAAGCTAAGTAAAACAAGTTGATGACTTGTATGAATGTATGGGAGATTGTAATAATGCAAATGAATTTCTTGAATTATGAATGACCAAAACACTTTGTAATATGATGCCATATATACCATGAAGAACCGAAGTGCACACAAAAAAAACAACGTATTTCAAAATTGTAGACGATTAACTTCTTGTGCTAAAAATTTGTTATTGCATATTATTCTTTATCGTATATTTCTCGGTTTAAATGTCATTACTTCAAACAAAAGATACACCTTATTATGATGATTTTATATACTTGAATTTCTGGATTTTCTTATAAACTTGTCATCAAAAACAATTTGCATAATTACATATTTGTTATACATGTTGCTGACTGGATACACAGAAGAATTTAGCCTTGACTGGGGTATTGGGTCAATTATTTATCTCATATAATATTATCCCATATATCTGGCAGTAAACTTGTATAAATAATAATATACACACTGGATAAATGTACCTACTTCCGGTAAATAACAGGCATTTGTGCTCGCAAAAAACATACACATTAAATACAGTCAACTATCGTTATCTCGACATCGCTTTTCTCGATATTTCGTTATTTCAATGAAATTTTGAAAGTCCCAATTTTCTTCCTTCTTTATCTATATTGGAAATATGTGTTTATCTCGATATTTTTATTTCGATATTTTCTGTATCTCGATGTAATATTTCAGCCCCGAGAGTAATTTTCATGCTATTATCCTTTCTTTGTCCCGACTAATAATTTTTTGTCTCTCTCCTGCAGAGGTGCCAGACAATAATCACTTAATAGCATGTGTCGTAATGATGACTATGTTTGTAACAAGTCGAGCTTTGTTTATAAAAGTTTACCTAATTAACGTATTGATTGACTTATGTTCAAAATGAGTGAATCTTCTGCTATTTATAAAATATTCGAAAAATGTATTAAATTCATTATGACTTTAGATGTAAATGAAAAAGTGGTCATAATAGAAACATTTTCGTTGCAATATTGTTTTACAACATAGAAAAAAATATCAAACAGCCGTATAACTATCTCGAGAATGGTCCGAAAACCAACCCGGGAGGATATCTGGATTAACCATGTTGAAAATGTTTTCACTGTAGTGGTGTATTACTGAGTAAACCTCAATATGTGTTTTTATCTCTGACTTCCGTATTTCCGCTGGTAAACATCCGCTAATTTAACTTATCAACTTTCGGATATAAGGCTCAAGAAAACAAGACATGGAGATGTCATACTTTTAATTTATTTGACTTAAGGTATGCACATGCCTTCGTAAAAATCAGTTACTACCTTGTTCAATCAAACCTTATACGTTTATCTCGACAATTCGTTATCTCGATATTTTTTGACGGTCCTGATGACTTTGAGATAACGAAAGTAGACTGTAATATGGAATTGCAATAATTGATAGTGATTTTGTTTACACACTGTGATATAGCCTTGCTGACATAAATATAACACTCAACTAGTGCCTTGTGTTATATTTATCACATTCAGTCTAGATTAAAAAAACAGTGATATGCACCTTTCAGACCGTACAAATCATGGACGCTATAGACACATAACACAGTGAGTAGCTAAATACAGTGCAATTGTTTAGTCGAAATTGCTGAGCGGATTGAACAGGGTAACATAAGACAGAAAGTTACTGAATACAGTGGGTCACTATATATGGCAGTTTTGACTTAGACATTTGAATATTCAGTTACCTTTTGTCCATAATTGTCAGATTCCAAAGTAAATCATACAGATTTTAAAGTATGGCATAACAGTATACATGGTTTATGTATAACTTAAAGTTACCTACACAACACTTGCCTAACTAGCCTCTATGATAAGGAGTTAATTAAGACACTTAGTTTCAAAGTGAAGGTTGTAGGTTCAAATCTTAATGAAACAATATGTTTTTATGGGGTTTTTTATGTTGCTTTTTATTATATTTTGTGAAA